CATTTTAGATCAGATTGATTCGAACTGCACATTGCGTATATCTAGCTGAGCTTCGATCACTTCTTATATGACTTCACACACAACATACCCGTTGCTCTGATGTCTGTGCTCAAGAGGTATTCTAAACAGGAAGCGCTCAATGCTCATTGGGATATTTTGCAAACGTTTTGATTATAGACTTGAAGTGCGAACAGATTACTGAAACCGATTTTCGTAGGCAATGGCAGTACGCACATCACCACACGCACACACACACACAAACACACACAATAGACTATATGCGTATACACTTCCTTGATCAGGCTTGTTGGCAGTCGTCCGTGAAACGTCAAAGTCAATATGCAAAAAAAGAAAGAAAAAAAAAAAATGTTGCGAGACTTTGCCATTCAGTCTGTTTAGTAGGTGCTATAATACAATCAGCCGAATCAGACAGGCGACGAAACGTGGCCACATTAAGCAGGTGAGTGTTGACACGCCCACTCACACACACACACTCACACACATGCAGACGCACGCACGCACACGCATACTCGTGCAGTAAAACGCGAGACGGGCGCATTATGCAAAACTTTTTAAAAGTCAGGCAGAAAAATGTTTTTTAAACGCTAAATTACTTTTGAATGGCAGCCGGGCGGGCAGCACTGTTGATATGGGCGTGGCGGCAACGTCACAATTTCATTTGTGCTTCCTCATCCACCACGACCACGCCCCCATATGCCCCTAGCTACCCGCCACCCACCTAGTCTTGCGCCCCAGCTTTTGTAGGTGTATTTCTGTGTGTGTGTGTGTGTGTGTGTGTGTGTGTGTGTGTGTGGGCACATTTTTTAGCGTTACGTCTGAAGAGCGGAAATACTTATCCCAACACTTGAGCATCATGTGCTGCCGACGCAGCGTCGACTGCGCTATGTGCTGCCAGCAAAAAAAAAAAGCTAAAAAAAGGCTAAAATTTGTCCAGCTGACTATGAAATGCTCTTTCTCTGAACAAATTGGAGAATATTTGAGTGATGTCTAAGTGAAGTTTTCGAGCTGAATTAGCAGGTGCTTTTATAGTATTATTATTATTAATATTATTATAATTATTATATATAATTTTATTTTATATATTATTATTATAATTATTATTGTAATAATATATTTTTATTATTATTATATTATTCTAATAGATTTTAGTCATTGTTTGTTTAACTTCTTCACATTCTTCTCTCTCTTCCTCTGAATCAGATCTTCTCTTGAATTAATATCATATCCCCTTTCCCCCCTCAGCGCCCAATGCTTTCGGCTTTGCCAAGCGGCTAGCGAAAAGGCTTATACTCCTGCTGGGCGCTGCCAAACTTGCATAACTGTGCCACACAGTCTCCGCGCTGTGTCTTAGCCGCAAGCGTCTAAGGTCGCAGCAGCACTCGGCCAGGGGGCGGGGCGGGCGTGGCAGAGCCGTGTAGGTGTTTTGAATGTTTAGCTCAAGTGGCTTTTTAAAACATATTCTATGCTAATTAAGGGCCTGCGCTTGGGGCAGGTGGCGGCACGGGACGTGTGGGGCGTGTCGGGCGTGTGGGGGCAGGGTGGGCGTGTGTGGGGCCATGGCTTAAATGAGTTGTCGTCGTGGACGTTGTTGTTTGCCTTTGATAAGCAAAGATTGCTGGCAGCCAATGTCATCAATGGTGGGCTGGGGGTGGTTGGGTGCTTGGGTGGTTTGCCTGGGTGGCCTCCATTGCGTAATCCTTAAAGTTGAATTTCTGTTCACAGGCTGCCATCGAGCGCCAGGCAGGCCAGGCCAATTTAATTAACGAATTAACAAAGCCAGAAGTTTTTGCGGCTTTTTTAAGTGATTTCGGTTTCGGCAACAGCGTCCTCATCAGGGTCTAGACTGCGGCGCCCAATTATTTAGCGGCCTTGTTGTGCATAATTGAATTATTGCCATATGCAAAGCCAAAAATAAAGGATAAAGCCAAGCCCACAACACAGACTACCTCCCTCTCTCTCCCTCTCTCCCTCTCTCGCTCTCTTTGCCTCTCGCTACTATTCAGTGTGACCCAAACAGAGCCCAGCCCAAAAAGCAGCCCCAAAAATCAACCCCAAACGACAGCGGACAGACGACGACGAGGCGACAAAGTTTTCTCTTGTGGCTTTTTATATTTTGGCGGCTTTTGCTTGTTAAATAAATCAAAGTCGACAAAGCTCAAATAAAAATAAGAAAATAAAAACTAAGCCCCAGTAAAAGGCAAAGACAAAGACAAAAGGCGCTCAGCTCAGCCCGAAAGGGCGCCAATAAATTGAATTATAAATTTAATTGAGAATTGGCTCTGCCCCAGCCCCCCACTTGACGCATTAACATTAACGAGTCTTACAAATGTTACCCTGCTCCGACAGCTCCATCAACATTCCGACACATTAAATAGACAGGAATGTTCATGCTTTAGGCTAGAGACGGACTGCGGTACGCATTCTATATAACTTTTAATATCTCGAAAAATATCTTATTTCGATTTCGAGAGACTCTAGCCTGGCTAGAAATTCCTGGTACTGCTGCCTAAATCAGAACTAGAGAAAATGCTCAATACCCATCCGCTTAATTTTAGTATTACTTAAAGTCTATCAAGTTTATTTATTCATTCTTTAGAGTTTCAAATTATTTTAAAATTAAGACTAACTTAAAAGTTAGGCATTGGTAACTGCGGTCCTATCAATTCCATCTGTAATAGTGAGATTCTTAAATTGAGCTTATATGTATTCTCATTCCGCTTAGTTCTATCGCACTTCAGATGCCAATACCCTGAAGCTCTGCTTAATTCTGCCTTGACCTAAATGATCCCGTTAGCTTTATCCGTATTTATTACACTCTTAAATCTCGTTCTTTTCCTCAGATATTCGCTGGTGAAATGTTCTATATATATGAGACATATATATTTGATTAATTTTAATGTAGCTTTAGCTCCTTCAAATGTAGCAGAAGCATTTTATTATAACATTTTATTAAAAATTTATTAATAAATTAAAAAATGCAAAAACAAAAATTGTCAATTTTATCATAAAAAAATTACAGATAAATATCTAAAAAAAAAAAAATTCAATAAAAATAAAAAAATAACACTGTTAAATTGCCAGCATAACATTTGCTTAATAAAATATAGAAATTTTAAATAAAAAATATAGCAGAACAGGGTTCATAGTAGGTTAGTTCGGCTCAAACCTTGAAGTTCAGTTCAAATCTTGAATACGGCAAGTGTGGAATAGTTTTATTTAACTCTCCAATAATACTCTTCATACTCTTTCATGCACTTGCTGATCAAACAATTCCTCTCGAGTTGCCCTGACTTAGGAGCTGACTTATTTCTAATCTGGTCGATAGATCATGGATTGAACTAGTTGCAATCCCTGCACCAGCTCCAGATTCGCAAAATCTGTTTGTTGATCTGTGTTGACCTAATCTGTGCTGCAGGTTGCCAGGGGGGCGTCCCCACATTCTAGTGGCCTTCAGAGCTGTGCCATCAGCAGCGTCGCTCCGCTGGCGGCTATCAACTTCGTGCTATGGGCCGAGTCAAGAGCCCCATTGGAGTTAAGCGAGCAGCACAAATGGTGGCTCAGCTCACGCCTGACCACCTATAATTCCCACACACTCGACCCGCGGCATCTCCATACAAAGCATCTCACAAGACATACGCCTGCCAGGCATTCCGCGCTTAATGCAGCCTGCCCTGCAGCGGTCTGCGGTTGGTTGGGCCGGGGCGTGCCGTCGCTCTTTGGGTTGCCTCCCAAAGTGCTCCAAGCCACAAGGCATTTGCCTTGCCTCAATAATACAAAACGGCCCAAGCCACTCGACAAGGCTAATGCGACTTTATGGCATCATAAACCAGCCCCTTAAAAGTGTCAAAACAAATCTTATTTATAAAGAAAAAAAAATATATATATATACACATAAGTAAAAAAAAAAAAAATTATAAATAAATGTATATAAAGAAAAAAATATGTATATATCCTAGCAAATATTTTTACTAGAAATTCGAATCAGAGCAAAATTTATCGAACTGCGTTGTTATACTCATTCACGAAAGTGAAAAGAGTATATTGGTTTTATGCAACATCCGTCTTGCAGTCTGTCGGCCCGTTCGCGTGAGTGTATGAATTATCAGAAAGACTACAGGCTTGAAATTAAGAATATATGCTCCCTTATATCTTTGACTTAAAAGGTTTCAAGATTTTCGTGATCCGCAAATTGGATCATTTCCTTCTCATTTCAGTTTCCACTTTATCAGAAATCAGGGTAGTTGAAGTGCTTGAGATTTGAAATTTGTAGCATATACTCGCATTGAGAACACATGCTCAAGGAGATATGATTGTTATATCTACGTCCAGTAGGGGCGTGGTAAATCGGGTATAACTGTATTTGTTTAACTGTAGTTGGTAAGTCATTCAATATTATTACTGTTGATATCCTCTATTGATTTGCACAATCATAAGACATATACACCAAATGGGGGCGTGGCAAGTCGAAAAATCGATCTGCCAGTGTTTGGTTCGTGACAGAGTATTCAGCAGTCGGTAACTTGATGTCAGTATTCTTTATAGCTAAATTTGCTTCTTATTTGCTGTTAAAATTTAAATGAGTTCGCGTAAAATTAAAGTGAGTTCAATTCATATAAATATCAAGCTGAAACATTGATTAAATTGTAAATCGATTAATTCCGATGAAAATCGATATTCACATTTCACATTTCAAATGTTTCAGATATATTCGTATTACTACACATTTATTATGATATCGGTTTAGGTGTAGGTATACCAGACATCGTCATGCATTGCTACAGCTTGGAAACATTTCTCTTTACTTACACACACATGCTGAACAGACTATGTGGAAGCCGTTGCTTTAGGGGGCAGAGAGAGAAAGAGTGAGTGAGAGAGAGAGAGAGAGAGGATGAGGGAATGATTTATAGATCTGAAAGAGAGATAGCGATGCTGGGTGGGCGAGAGGTGGGTGGGTCGGGTGGTTTGAATTGACGTAC